ATATTGCTCTTGAGTGTGAACGCTACTTAGCTCCTTATGGATTTGGAGGGGTTCAGGTAAGTTGTTTCCTGCGAGTAGGTAAGAAAACGGCATTGTAGCATTCAACCAGTCAATCAAAATGCGTGAATCGGAGATGGACAGCTCCAATTAACTTTGGTCCTGGAAAGAAGGAGGGATGGAAGTAGATGCAACCCTAGATCCTGCAGGGCCAATGAACGATACAGTGTCTCTAGCAGATCCGTTACAAAGGGGCACACTTTCCTCTGAAACGCTTCCCCTGCAAAGCTAAAAGTTTTCCTCTTTACCTCATTCTGAGGGAAGTGCATAAGCATTGAGTTTTGGCTTTCTTAAAGATGTCACTATTCTGGGTAAAAATAGTTCCTGTGGCTTCAGCCCTGCCATGCACATGCCCTCAAAAGCATGCCTGTGCTGGACCTGGGCAGCCCACAGGAACAAAAGAAAACTTCTTTCTTGCCGGTCTACCAGGCGGACATCTCACAGACCTGAGCTTATGGTGTGGGAGTGAGAGACTGGGTTGGGCACTAGCCTGTCTCTGAGGGCAGAGGTGCTGAGCACAGATTTTGCCCTTAAAACATTGAAATAAATCCAGTTGATTTCTTATCAAAGTACATCATTTCCTCTGCAGGTTTCACCTCCAAATGAAAATATTGTCATTACTAACCCATTCAGACCCTGGTGGGAAAGATACCAGCCCATCAGCTACAAGCTCTGCACTCGATCGGGAAACGAAAATGAATTCAGAGACATGGTGACCAGATGCAACAACGTTGGAGTAAGTGTCTTGAAAATCTGTATCTGATATGGCAAGAAGTGCTGTTTCAGCTGAGGGAAGTTACTACTGCTGTCCTCAAATGAGGCATAAACTGAGGATAAACCCAAGGGGAAAAAAAGATCAAATTAACAGTGACGTGGTAAAGCTCTGGCCGTCACTTCCCCATCATTGCAAAACATACTAAAATGCATTTTTTTTTTTTGCTTTTCCAGGTTCGTATTTATGTGGATGCTGTTGTCAACCACATGTGTGGGGCTGCAGGTGGCTCAGGCACCCATTCTACCTGCGGAAGCTATTTTAATACTGGGAACAGAGAGTTTTCAGCTGTGCCATACTCTGCCTGGGATTTCAATGATGGCAAATGTCATACTTCAAGTGGAAACGTTGAAAATTATGGTGATATATATCAGGTAACTTTCTCCAGCAAAAGTTTGACATCTTTTCTGTTTTCCTTTCCTTTATTTTTTTTTAAACCTGTTGTGTAAATATTACAGTAATGCCAAGCAAAGGGAGTAATTTATCTCAAAAACTGTGCTTAGTCACCTGACAAGTGAATGAAGTAGTGAACATAGGTACAAGAAAGGTATTCATGGCACAAAATATTGGAAGTGCTGAGAAATCAAGAACCCTCCCCACAGGTTTCACGTGGGTGTGTGCAGGAGTGTTTGCTCTTGAACTGAGCCCAGTGTACTCAGCTCAGCCGCTGAGCTTTTTCTTACAGCTTGTAAACTCAACTGATCTTGATAAGGACCCCCCCTGGAAAATTGACAGCAGTGCAAGGTGGTACCCAGGTTGAGCGACACACTCTTTTTTTGTAGATGGAATGTGTGGCAGTTCTTTCTGAAGGCTACTGCTCTTTCTTTGGCCACTTTGCAGCAATACACCATGCAGTTTCTCATCCTCAGTTCTGATGACATCTGCACAGGGAGATGATGTCCTTCATCAACTGTCCTAACCTGAGTATTACTGTGTAGTAAATTTGCTTATGTCTTGGTGCGGGACTTGGCATAATGCTCTTCTATACATATTAGATATCCAAACACAATTGGTTTTGTGGCTTGAAATACGCAAATATTCCATTGAAGGGTTTTACAAGCTGACAGAGTGGCACCACAAAATCTTTTTTCCTTTGGGTTTTTTTTCATTACACAGGTCCGAGACTGCCGTGTGACTGGCCTTCTTGATCTGGCCATGGAGAAGGACTATGTACGCTCCAAAGTTGCTGAGTACATGAACCATCTCATTGATATCGGTGTGGCAGGCTTCCGAATTGATGCTGCCAAGCATATGTGGCCTGGGGACATGAAAGCATTTCTGGACAAGCTGAAGAGTCTAAATACGCAGTGGTTTGCCGCAGGAACAAAACCCTTCATTTACCAGGAGGTAATCCCCATGTTTTTTTCTTTATGTTTCTCTCTGGTATCTCTTTTACCTTCGTCCTTCAGAGGAATGGTGGTAATACATCTTCATCCAACTTTACCCCAGAAACACCTAGCCATTCCCTTGGATCAGCTCTGCAGACATAAGTAGTTTTTGCTTTTCAAAAATGCCTCCACAACAGATTGTCATTCAACTTTACCTTTTCTTTCTTCAATCATGCTTTCACGTGTCTGTCATGCATTATGCTGGCTTTGGCTTGACCTACAGAGCAGAAATAAACATACTTAAATATTTTTTGTCTCAATGTAAAGCAAGAAGTAACACTGAAACTGTACACTAGATTTTTTGGTCTTTGTGAGATGAGAACAGAAGCACGATTTCTCCTTCATGTACCAGGTAATTGACTTGGGCGGAGAG